TGAAAAAAATCTGCAACCTCATCCGCGGGTTCTACCTATCGTTACTTTTACATTTTAGTAATGTCCATTTATATATTGGCTATGTTTTTAACAACGAACTTRTTATTAATTAAAACACACCGAAATTTAAACAAAAAAATAAATAATAAAGCTCTGGTCTGTAGAGATAGCGTAGATAAATACGCCACTGCAGGATGCAACAAACCTTTCACACATCATGCACTATATAGTCGCTATTAAATTTGTACTAACAGTCTCTGATATTTTTGTCTTTTGCAAGAACTATTAGGTATTTTCAAAAGTTATACGCCTTATTTATTATTGGTTTTACAGTGCAAGTTAAYTGTGCAAGATGTATACCCATTTCGTAATATTGATACAATAATAAGGTTTAGATGCGTGTCGTTGTATCCACTGCGAAAACTCTATCCGTATACGAATCTTGTATATTATGATTTATACAATGATATATTTCGATGTGGCAAAGTGCACGCGTAGTTATTGTAATAACTCGGTGTTTTGATAGGTAACCGCAGCCAAACAATAACCCGAAACTACATAATATGCGCATTAGACTTAATATCATTATTGTTATTATGTTGATTCACATAATAATATTATATTATGTTGGTGTATAATATTATTATGATGTATGATACAACAGCTACTGCCAACATCCGCGACGCGTAGGKAMGTCACGTCATCGGTGGTCATAAAATATTAAAATGTATTTATACGATGCGTACGTCGTGACGTCGTCATTACCTGCTAAAGTACTTGGCCGAGTTTGGGCAGTCCACCTGGGACACGAAATGGCAAATGAACGTCTTTTGATCGAAAGCTGTGTAATTGGCGCACAAGAAGTCGAACCTCGTGCCGAACAGACAGTGATGGTAGAGCTGCAATCGTATACACATAATCAATGTATAATATTACAAATTACAATACATAATATTATATATACTAATAGGACATTTAGAGCTGAATTAATTATGTACAGTCAGGTACTATATAGATATTATTATGTTATATAATCCATCGTTGTGTGTAGGTATATAATATGATGTATTGGCGTACTGCGTCCAGCATAATGACAACGATTGCATTACCGTTTGACGTCACAGGCCAATAGGCCACAGCCGAATAAACATTTCGTTCTTCCCGGAACTATATAGCAGTTTGATATTTAATCCGTGAGTACTTCAATCCGTAAGGTTAGCTGTGGCGATTGCGGCAGAGAAATTCAAAATGGACCCCACCTACCCTTTCCACACATAAAAACCAAACCGCGTTTACTTAGTCCGTAATAAAATATAAATACCATATTGTACATAATATTATATTTGAGTTGATGATATCATGACACTGCAGTCATTTGCCAAGGTATAATAATTTAATGCACTTGGCATTAACATTAATATTACATAAACAAAATATTGTCTCTTCGTTTTCCATAGTAGGTGGGTAGGTACGATATTAAGTTGTTGGTAATTTGATTAGATACTTAAATATGGTTAAGTTAATGTTCGTTCAAAAATGTGAGGTATAAGTATGAATTAGGTAGGCAACCTAAGATTGTAAGAATCCGGTTCAGAACGAAGTAATATAAATATATTGTATATTTATAAAATGTTAATATGAAATTCGTCGAGTTTTAATAATGAAAACGTTAAATCCTTGCAACCGAAGGAAAATACATAAATAATAATAAAATATTTTTACGTTTGCCTCTATGTATGCAAGAAAAAAATAATGATGGAGGATGGAGTTCTGGATAATATGAAAGGTACTGCCCGTGGTAAAGGTGTAGTACGTTATTATGGGTTTTTTAGAGTTCGTGGTTACTAGGAAATATAAATCAAACTTATTTTTATGGATTTCAAGCAATTATATTGTATACTTATGGCCCTAAGAGTATAGGCGTTTTAGGCTCAATATGAATAACACTCGTCCCTCCYACGCTCCTWATTAATAGTAAAACACACGAGACCGACTCACCTGACATTTATGGGGTACGCTAGCATAGAAACCATCGTGCAATCCATCGCATTTGAATTCGATATCTGCCGGCACCGAGTTTAGGAACGGATATTCTGTCAAGTTATAACCGTTCAGCTCTCGCGGCAAGTTCGGATCGTGCACGTAGTCGATCTGCGGTATGCCTGTCAACGTGGGTTTGGTGGTCGTGGTTACGTTCAAYTCGACTGTTTGTTCCCCATTTTCGTCCACGTCGACTGCTTCATCCGGTTCCTGTAATAAATTATTATTAAAAATTACATAAAACTATTACACCCAAGCTAACTTTATAGAGATATTTGCACCTCCCTAAGGTTGAARGGTAGGGCTGATCCCCGATGGCTGTTATACAAATTCTACCCCTGCAGTGGTGCTTATRTTCATTGACGTCCATGCAGATATATAATTAGGCGTAAGTTATGGGTTTTAACTTTTATTCGGTCGATAGTAGAAACCGTATAATATTTTGAGCGATAGTTGTGTGGTGATATAATAATATATAGATACATTATGATAGTATGTTATACTGATAATATTACGAAATGCCCTTGTAATAATTTAAATTATAGACCTGTCTTTTCTTATAAAAAAAAGTTACGACCGTAATTACATAAATATAAATGTGCGATTGGATTTATTTTTAAAAGTCAGAACTCTCATCGTATAATGTAATATAATAAATTGTTTTAAATAATTCTTTTAATCTGTACTTATGGACGAGGACATGACGTAAAATAATAGTGAATGTTCCTAAAAAAGGAGTTGTTACCTATAAAGGAATTTGCATTTAATATTATTTCATCGGAATAATAAAACAAGAATGTTTGGATTTGAATTATACATGAAAAGCTAAATTATTTTAACATTAAAAATGTTCATCCACTGCGTGTTTGTGAGTTAAAATTCAACAGGTATAGTGCGCAAAATATTYAAAAATATATTTTMCTCAGAACCGCATTTCAGCAAAAAAATATTTTATCCCGAATAATATATTAAAAGAAAAATATTTTGTCCAAACCGTGTTTAATCCGAGAAATAATACATTAGAACTACATTTCATCTGAATAATATGTCACCAAAAGTAAAACAATAGAAAATATTATGAAAAAATTATCTTAGCAAAAATATTTTATTCGTAAGTTAGCTTACTTACTTTTCGTATAAAATACATTCCGACAATATTACTTTTCACAATTTATATTCGGACGTAATATTTTTCAAATAAAATAATTTTCACAGGAATATTTTCGGTTATTTTTTAGGGAATGTAATTTATTTAACATCCAAAATGTTATAGCACGTTTCTACATTTTAGCACTATTTCATAAATACATTTTAATTAATTTACCATTTAAAAAAAAATCAGGAATTATTTTAATAATTATAGTTCTCAARCACTTTCATGAAAATTTAAATGTTTTGAATGATAATCGTCGGTTGTAATATTTTTTTGTAATGCACGTAATAATACATACCTATGCCATACGAATAAATAAAATAAATACATACCTATTATATTGATATTATATATAATAGGTTTGCTTTTATTATAATGATATTTCATAGGTATTTGTATATTTTATCAATTCTCTTATAATATATAAAACGTAATAAATAAATTTGAAAACGTAGGATAATTAATTAATTTAAATCTTACAAAAAGATACAATTGAAAAAAACATATGTTTATTATTATTATTGTATACATTACTATAGTTATTAGTTAAATTATTTAAGTTATAAGTCATAAGCTATTTTTATAAATTATAAAATAGAAACAATAAAATATTTTTAGGTCAYAATATATTGACGTTTTGTATACCTAATATATATACTATATTATAATTATTGTGAGTTTAAATCTCAATAAAGTAAAAAAGAATAATATTTTATAATATAATAATTGACGATTAAAATGTATTAGACCTATGTTGTGGGTGGTATTCAACGCTTGGTAATATTAAAGTTTGATCAAGCAATAACATCAAAATGTACAAGGCTGTATTCGAATACAGAGCAAGATTGAATTTCATCTTTAGGTACAGTCTGTGTACCTATAATTATTATATAGGTGCCTTTATAAATAAATAATATAATACATACTGTCGAATGAGAATTTGATGGTAAAATTTGTTATTCTAATAATAGCAATGCTAACGAAATAACCTCGACATTTATTGACTGACACTGTACGTACCGAAGTTTTTTTATCCGCTTTCGCTCTCGCTTGAAGTACAACAGCAGAACCTCGTACCGCATCTAACTCTGCTACAAATACAGACCATGTCAGTAAACCTGTAATTAAAATATACAAACGTCAATGATTCACCTTCATTATATAGGTAACTACTTATATTTTACATATTTTATACATTTATATGTGTCGCATAAGATGACTTTCAATATTTTCACATAGATATAATTGTATTCAAGAATTAATAGAAAATAAATAATTAGTAATGACACAAAATAATTTATAAAATCTATCACATTTTAGTATTTTATCCTAATTAGTTATAATGTATCGGTAATCAGTAACTATAGTACAAATATAGTGCATATAGTATATTAAGGTCTTTAGCATTTTTAATTCTGATTTGTCATGATCACACAGCAAAAATGATTTATTAATTACAAATCATCTCAGTAAAAAATGTTCTGAGATACTGCAGGCCAGAGAATTTGCAGCTAAACCGGGCACCGGTATCAACTTAATCTCTTAAAAACAAGAAATATGCACACAAAATGTTTAATAAATAATTTGATTCGAAAACTATAGTTTTAATATTTGGGTCATTAAAGCCTAATATAATAATCGTAATTCAAGCGAATAAATGAAACAGTAAATCTATAAATCATTTTTGAAAGTAACGTTATATCAATAATATCATATAATAACCACGGGCATACTTAACTGCAGAATAATAAAATTACTAAAAAAAAAAAAATGTTTTCCGACTGAAAATCATTATTAGTGAAATCATTATTAATATTCATCTAATAGCCAGTCGTAATTTCACCATGTAGTTTATTTAAGACACGATTACACGAGTGCAGTTATTATTATTGTATAATGCATAAAATTAACAAAACTAAGTGTGCAGCCAATAAATCGATATCCCCATTAATCGGCATTAAACAGACGAAATTGTGTCATCGGAGCCATTTGACGATTACTAAATAAAAAATATTCATCACGATGTGAGCAAATATTAAACTCTATATTACTACGTGTCTTGTTAATTTCGTGGGGGGAGGTGGTTACAAAAAATTAATATTTCAACAATCCCTCATAGATTCTAATTAGCTATACAATCAACGTCCGTACCAACCATACATTTCGAAGGGGCCGGGTTGAACCCCCAAAACTCCCCCCTAAATACACCACTTGTCTTGTGTCTACGTATAACGATTTAATACATATACCTATGGTTACAGAATTTTCACAAAAAAATAATATATACCTATGTCTATATTATGCACTACTCAGCCGATAGTTGCATATAACAATTTAATAATATATAGGTATTAATGTATTATACTATATAAGTACCTTCAAAGTATATAGTATAATATAGATTATAGAACACTTAGAACAGTACGTCAGTACCTATCTATATGGTCCGATTTGTTCCCGATGCATTTTTAATCAGCCATAATTTATGACGTGTAAAAATGTTCTGTGCATTGTGTAACAGTGGCATACATTTTCGATTKTCAATATTATGTATTATGAATTAATGCGATAGGTATAGCTGGCGTTGCAACGAACCAGTTTTAAAAACTCATAAACTCGGTAACGCCCAGAGATACACTCGTAAGCACAGCGAACACATGCGCCACGGGACCCATTGCGTTTCCTGGACAAACGTGACAGTGGCATTGCAACATAAATGCTGATAAACACGTAATTAGGCGCCGAAAAACACTAACCGTCTATACCTATGTACTCGAGCGCTAATGGTGACGTAATTCTTTTATGAACATACCTATATATATTTTAAAGCATTCCCAACAAGATGACACAAACAAACCGTATAATAATTGTTACATTCTGTGGTACAACTGGTACAAGTTTATATACTTATAAAATATTATTTATATTGCATATAGTACATAATAACTATTTAGGACATTGCAGCGTCCCAGGTTTGAATTATAATATAATATTCTCTCGCCAAAATTGACCATTACGCAGCAACTAAATATATATTATAAATACATAACGATATTGAAATTTACGCCATATTATAGAATATTATATATTATATTGTGATGGTGAAAAATGAATACTGAGGAAAAAATACAAATCCTTGATCTTCGATCAATGTGAATGCACTTGAAACGCTCCTAATGTGATACATATAGGTACTCTACACAGTGTGCGAATAGCGTAGTACTACGCTGCGCAAATATCAATTTATTATTATAATATGATATTATTATTGTTTATTATCTATATTATATTCATCGAATCGTCTACACACGGTATTTTTTTCTGGATCGCGCGTTAAGAATTACCATACATTGTGGCCAATTTTCGGTCGTTAACCTTCGTGGCAGATTGTCATAATAAAATAAAATAATATATAAAATATTTAATTGCTACTTTTTAAATATATTTTCAATTTTACCCTCCCATCTTGGGTTATAAAAATTATTCATCAAAGGTGTATTTTTATTTGATGTGACACAGGCGCCATTTAATAAATATTCCTCAACAATATGATGATGAATATCTGAATTTAGTAAAAACTATATACGTACCAACATATTTTCTAATGAGGTGGTTAAAATATTGATGTTATAATTTTATGATACATCAAGTTTGAATTGTGTATAAAATCTCTGAAGAGTTTCAGAAGCCAAATATAAGAAATAAGTATAAAGTAGGTATGAGTTCAGTAGTATTATAAAAAAGTTATAACAGTCTATTATATCTAATCGAATGTCGATATAAAATAAAATTATAAATATCGTTCTTAAAAACAATCTAATTTATTGAATAGCTATAAAACTATTAATTAATTAAATTCGATTATTATTTACCTATTATTTACTTCCCGCGCGTTGTTTTATTTTTAATTTTAATTTTTAATAAATATCTAATTAATATTTAATGTATTGTTTTCACTCTGCACACTATTGCCAAATAAAATCGTAATCGCTTATCAATATCAATATGTAACGTCAATGGAAAGTTACGAATAGATTGACTTTCATAAGGTAGTAATATCGATGAACGCATATAATCGTGGGTGTTAACTGCTATACATATACTATATTATATACATGTATCTGTATAAATATTATGAATGATGATAGTAATGTCTCCAATATATTATAAGAGAACTAGCAAATAGTTGAATATGTTAAGACAATACTAAATACACAATATAGCTTAGTAATTTTTACAATTTATAATAACTTACTTACACTTATTTAGAATTTAAGTGAAAAACAATTTATATTATTTTTTAGGAATCAGCGTATGTTTTATTAAGACAACTTAGCTCTTGAAATAAAATGAACACAAATTAWATCTTTAAAATTAATTGTATTATTTTTAAACTATTGATTTAATTTTGTCTTGGATGATTGATAAGGATGTTAGATTTTTACATAGTACATTTATAATAAATAAAATAATAAAAATACTTACAACACTGAATATTTTAATAATATTAAATCGATCAATATAAAATAAAATAAACTCTATTCAATGTTGATTATTTTTACACTAGAAACAGGATGCAGTTTAATATTGTTAAAATTTTCTATAAATTTATTCAGTACTTAAATTTAATACCTTCCGCATTTGAACATATTATATGTTTTTAATTTTAATATTTTTTTAAAGACTAAAAATTGTTTAATTATACAGAAATAAATAATAATATGACTTGTGAAATATAGTTAATGGTATCATAAAGAAGTTATGAACAACAACTTAGTAATTAATAGTTAATGATTATAAAACTAGATCTGAACAATTTTTGAATAAATTAAAAATGTAACAAAATATTTCATGATGAATACAATATTTCACCACACAATTACTACTATTATTAGGTACTATTATTATTATTGTATTGGTATTAAATATACCTATACAAAGATTACAAGAGTCATGCATGCTTTGTAAAATATTAAATGAACATTTTATTCAAGGACGCTTTTTTTATATTATTATTTAAGTTATTGATTTTTTTATTGCTATATATATATATATATATATATATATTTTTTAGCATATAAATATTACGTACACAACACCATAGAGTTTTTTTTTATCGATGTTTTGCAACATGTCATTTTTGTACTACAATTTTTATACATGTCTAATAATATGGTGAATATAACGTAATATAATTAAATTTCTACTTTTATAGTTCCAAGAAACGTCTACTTYTTTATTTTTCAAAAATAGTATTCCTATATCAGTATAACTATTAGTCCATGCTCTCAAGTCTCAATTTATCAGAATTTTAACTTAAAATAACAATTATCATGTAAAAAAAATCGATTGATCATTAATTATGGCTGATTAATATATAAAATATAGCTAAATGAGTATTCAAATTCAAAATGAAACTATTATAGGTATATTAGCAATTCCAAATGTGATCGAAAGTAGTGTATAACTGATCACTAAGCAATAAGCATTGTTTGTACTTGACTACCTAAATATAATTGTTCTAGCTGTGCCTAATTGTAGATTTTAGGTGAATTCAGTAAAATTGGATAATCTTTTATACATGAAAAAATAATATATTATTATTAATAAGCGTATCTAAAAGTGGTAGGAGGGAGTTTACCCCCCTCCTCCTCCCATTGGAATTGTAGTCAATATGTTCAGTCCATCTAAATATTATAAATATTGTGTAATCCCCAAAACCACTTGGATAATTAAAGTATACCTAATACCTATGGAGTGCTAGTGTGGTTATATCTAGCCTCCCTCCTAGAATATTTGAGCACCCTACACCTATGCTCCACAGAATAAACCTCGCATTTATACTAGGACAATTGCCTACGGTGTCTTTTCAGTATTGCGTCAACATGTTCATAATAATAATATAATATAGGTATATATATAACTTATAGTCACGAGCGTATTTGTGATTTATAAACCAGATCATTGATTRCCAACATAGTATAAGTACAATGTTATGTAGATTTAATCAATGACCATAATACAATAAAATGATCGCCAAAGTACTAGTTAAATAAATAACTATAGCTTGTTATATAAATTAAATATTTCAATTATAAAACATAAAAAAAAAATTGTGATTATTAAATACCTATAATGAATCAATAATATAGTTATATGATATAACAACAACAACAACAAGACGAATCAAAACATTCCAAATATTGGCCGAGTGCATGTGTAGTATAGCCACATAAGACCTACCAAATACCAAAAGTATAATATATCCTCTTTGTTTCAAGCAGTAGGTATAACATTTACTATTCAAAATAATATAAAGAAAAATATAAAACTCAACRTTGCTCAAGATTTCATTTGATTCCTACTTTTTAGATCGACGTATAAAAAATATCTTAAAAACAGACAACGCCCTTAAATTACTTTCACAAACGTATWAATAATTTTTTCAAGGTTCTTCCTATTAGTAAYTGAGGCCTTTAAGATATATGATACATTAAAAATGCACGGAGACCACGATATTTTGAAACCATTTGATAAATCGTTACGAAAAAATTGTTATGACTGTAATTCTTAATGGTCCTTAAATTCTAAGGTCCTATACATAACACAGCTATAGTATGTCTTCACAACAAATGAAAAAGCCATTATTTTTTATAAAACTTATACATTTTTGTACTAAATAGTTATTGTAATTTTTAAAGATATCTATTAATTGATCTATATAATATTATGTTAAGTTAAATTTTAAATAAAAAGTCAATAAAACAAATTATTATTAAATGTATGATGTACCTATTTTGCAATAATATATATTTTATGAAGGTACCTGGTACATCATAATAATAAATATATAATATACAGTATTATTTGTGTGTGATATATTATAATGTACCTATTACTGTATTAGGTATCTGTATAATAATTTATAATGAGAAATTAAAATTAAATTTTTTAATTTACTTACATATCGTCAGCTTACAAATGAATATAATTTTGAGCCGTCTCATTTCAGTCTGAAACAAATGAAACAGATAATTAATTCATTTAATTAGTACAGATAAAAATTAATTTCACAAAACCATACATGAGTAGGTAGGAAACAAAATTATATATATTTTTTAATTAGCTTGTCTTTGTCATATGTTTATCAGAATCTAATTAAAATCGATAATACATGACAGGTATATTTTATATTTAGGTACCTACACACAATGTGATTCACCGAGCATCATGCACATAATGTGTATTCGAGAAATATTTTTCAATCGGTCCGTAATTTGTTATATAGTAGCCCATGTTGGACGAATTTTAATATCAATAAATAATAATGWYCTTATCACGTTTGTTCATTGTAGGTATACTATTATATAGCTGTCATTAAAATCGTAACGTAGGCATTGCGGCAAATTTCTCGTACCAGTCCAAAATTTTAGCGGAGATCTTCTCGAAAGCTTGACTGGCCTATCCAGACCTGTGCACATTTCTCAATACCCTACTTTGTCCTTGTTTATCTACGATACATTTAATCAAATTTTGATTTTTGGAACTGTTAAAGACCATATTTTCAAATAACATATAAGGAATATCGTGTAGCTAAAACTATAGTTATAACTTATAAGTATGTAAAATATTAATATTTAAAACTTTAAAACTTTAAAAGTACTATAAGAAATTCCTTTAAAATTAAACTAACGATAGAATTATAGAACATTGATCATATTCGTATTTATGAATTTGATAGGTAATAAGTAAATTTCCTGAAATATTAAAACTCAAAATAACCCATCTTCCATGTAAACTACAATTGCATAGAAAAAAATTGTTGTCAAGTTTTCATGTAAGAATACTATCCGTGTTTGTAGGTACTTATAGATTTTTACAACATTTTAATTTATAAACGAGTTACTTGCTTAAAAATCAAGAAGGGAGGGGAGCAGGTATTAGAATCAAAATACGAAATTGTATAATAACCTTGCCTAACAAAAAAATATCGTACACATTCATACTGACATTATAGTAGGTATTATACTAYCTATGTGTATTATGGATTTATCGATTTACTTTCAATAACCGAACGTAAATAAAATCAGTCTATCTGCTCAATAGCTTCAATCAATACCATCAGAAAAACGAATATATTATACGTCGACGTAATTGCGGTAGTCGATTAGCTGTTGGTATGTAAGTTTTTCGGCAGTGAAAAACCACCAAATCTTTACTACCTATGTGGTTATTGGATATCTTACTGCAGTTTCTTGGCGTAGGACTTACACTGCAACCCCTGCACCATAAAGTCAGCTGCACCTGCGACAGTTGTAATAACATTGAAACTTGGAACTACATATTGTGTTATACATACGAGACACATTAAGTGAAATAATATATCCTAATACGATAATTATATGTGTAGTAATGAGTAAATAATGTCTAATGACGCTAACAATGTCCAAAATCACAAAAAAAAAAATCAAATCTGTAACAAGCGCCTGTCTTAATCGACATGTACGAGAAACCTGTTTTTATTATTATCATAATATATAGGTACCTACGTAATTATTATTGCATTTGCAATATCATAGACTTGGGTGTGACCATTACAACCTTGACTGGTCTGACCACCTATATATATATATATAT